CTCGTTCAGCGTGGACTGTTATTCATTCGGTAATTCAGATTCTAATTTGTATTCAACGATAAATATTCAAGCGAAAAATTCGTTAGACTTTACGGACCAAGAGGTATATTTCGCGTTGTTTAGAGGCAACTTCTGTAGACGAAGGAACATCGCAAAGATCTTTGACTTCCTCGGTCGATCCTTTCGCGGATAATTTGAACGAATGGTTCGCAGGTGGTTGCTGATCGACCTACGCGGTGATCCGGTTGAGTTAGTCAGTACGAAGAGTTTTGCCGTGGTTGGAGCGAGCCTAGAGGCTGTCAAGGATGGCCGCCAACCATGCGAGTTACGCAGCACGTGTCGCAACTTCCATTCGACTACATCATCGGTGCGCACACCTCGCGGCTTAACACGTTATCACGCTAAATATTTCTGGACACCGAGTACGTATAATTTCAGGAAGCGATTAGCTGTGCTCTATCATGTACCTTATGTACACCAATGGAAGCTACGAAGAAAAAATCTACTTCAAAGTAAGGCACACATATTACGCATTTTTTCCCCTGGAGCGGTCGTGGCTTTTACCGGAGAAAACAAGGAAACTATTAAAAACGTCAACGAAGCTGCAACTTAATATGCATAAGTACGTAGTCTACGCGTCACTTGTCTATTTGTTGCACGTCTTAATTTATAATATACTCGTTTTTCGTTGAGGATGACCACGAACCGAGGGTCGAAGCGCCGTACGCGTTAAAAAAAAAATGTTTCAAGCCTCCGTTGTTAGTCTTAAACGAGAATCTCGCGAAACAGGTAGATTATTTATCATCGCGACAGATACGATTCATGCCACGTGAACTCGACTAGCGGAATAAAGTCCACCCGAGAATAGAGACGGAAGGAAGGTTGACCACTCGACTTTGGTTCTCGAGTCGCAGCGGTTCGACGATTTCACGACCGCGAGGTTATAACCCGCGAAGTACCGACACGAAAGTTTTTCTTTTTCTTCGTCAACAGCGTGTACGTGTAGTCAAGGATGTCCAGCGCGGTGCAAGTCGTCGTCACGTGTCGCAACAACGTTCATCCGACGACGTCATCGGCGTCCACGAGAAACGCCTTAACGAGCGCTCGCGGACTCGTGCCGGCTTGAGCTGACGTCGGAATCAAAATTTTATTCGAATAATAAGCGACCAGGAGTCACTTCAGACTAAGAAATCAAACGGGAGGAAATATCGTGACTCGAGTTCGAGTTCGACGAGCGATCGCTGCAGCGATTTTCGTGGATCTCCGGGAAGATTGAGATTCGTGGGGCTGTTAGTCGATTCGCGGCAGGTCGTCGGGCCAAAACGATGTGAAATCACGCGAAACGCGAAGAGGAAGAAGTAGAAGAAGAAGAACAGGGCACCTCGGAATTCAAGCTTACGAAACGTTGATGAGGAAACGTGCCAGGGACGAAGGAGCGAAGGGAAAGACTCAATCTTCGGATTCCGCCGGACGACTAGAGGGAACGAATGCCTGGAAGGCCGACGACATTTCGAGCTGTCGTTACATCATCGACAGAACCAGATCGTCGTAGACGCTGGAGAAAATTGGCGCGATCGTCGATCTTTTTCACTTTCGTGGATCGAATATGTTCGTACGTATATTTGTGAAAATTCGGCCTCTTTCGTAGGGACGAAAAGGGAATATCGATTGTACGTTTGTTAGAAGATTATTCGTTCGGGAAATGACTGGTTGCTCGTCTGAAATGTAGCGGTACACCGTCATGCATAAACCACATTGCGATGTACATCTAATGAAGCTTCATTCAATAATTCATACAATCGGTTACTCAAGACATTGACATAGGATTGACTTGTTAATCTTCCATTAAGGAAAACGAGGAGTTATCGAACCTTGCGTACATACAGTTTACTAGAATCACGGTTACATTAGCTCCGTTTATGGTCATGAATTGTTCAAGTACGAGATCTAAAAAATTCAATGAGTGAAAGTTAGAGTTTCAAGCTATGTAAACTAAAACAGTGTAGTTTGTTACAAGTATTGGCTATAAAAAACTATTTTAAATTGTCCATTATATTAGACACGAATGATTACAGTGCAGGCATATAATTCATCAGGTCATTAGCGTACCGATTATTACTATAGATTTTCCGATCAGCTATGATGATCCTTCGATGACAATAAGAAAAGCAATGGTTATATAAAACAGGCCTCCTCGAACCTCTTAATTTTTTCCTGTAAGATTTGTTTGTATCTACGATAGTTCAGGCATTATCGCTCTGTAACAGTTTAGCTGCCTCACCCTGTACATTTCCACGATCGAACTATAAAAATAACACGTTTAAAATCAGCCAATGAAGCTCGCCATATATAGATCGAGAAAACGTTCTAAATACATTGCTTGGGCGGTCCAGGAGCATCTATCGATCTATAAATTAAATAAAATGATCGTTCACGGTCGAGAATAACGAACGACGCCGCCAACGCGATTCGATTCGATCGATCGAAAAACACGGTAGCTCCGACCAAGTCGTACGCGAAGCGATTCCGTAGCAATCGTTTGATTAACGATCGACCGAAGCGATCCATAAATAAAGTCCTCGCGCGAGCGCGCAACGTTACGTGACCGTGTCACGTGCGAATTGCGCATCGAGATACAAGCGCGGTTAAATAATGAATTTCTCGGAAGCCACGGATAAAAAGGAAAGATCGAGATATGTTTCGTGAATCGATGGCTCTAGTTCTCGAAGACGGTGTTAGCAGCGCGAGAGCCGAGATAATCTCGAGTATTCGCCGCGTTAACACGCGCTACAGGTCAGCTGTACTTTCGTTCTTAGTTCAGCGAGTGTGTATCATGCTTTCTTGCTTTATGGGTCAGACTCGCGGGTCCAAATCGCGATCCGGCTTCGCGTTCAGGTCCTCGTGCTAATTTGAACCCATCCACGGACGAAACGACGAATGAGCGCCCAAGAACTGATTATTAGTACCGGTTACCACTAGTACGGTAACTGTTCCTGTTCTAACGAACTCCCAATGAGTAGACCAAAATTGAAAATGTTGAAACTAGCCCTTTACTATATGTCTTTTCAGCGAGGCAAGAAGTTCTGACGATGCAGAATACAACACCAGGGGACGAATCCCGAGATAGGGCTGTTTGTTGGCACGTACGATCACTGACCACCATCGGAGTATCCACGACGATCCTACAGCGCGAAAAGGCGACGACGGTGGGTCGTTCTCGCGACCGACGGTGGCACACGGCCACGTTCGCTGGCTAGGGCTTAATCGACTGGGAATTAATTATTTATGAGGCGTGTTTCATTCATTCATTAAAGCGCGGTCCCGAGATCATTATGAAGTGATAATGTCTTAATTAACGATGGTTAATGAATACCTATCGCGAGATCACTTCGCTTTATAATGCGACCGATCGCCGGCCTCTAAACGGCGAATTAACCCGCGGTTAATAAACGAACCGAAGAAGCACGTGCTTCTCGTACAGGTTACGACGAAGACCCGCATATTTCCCGAACGAGCTCTTCGTGGTTAACGCGTTTACCTCCGGGTACCAATCGCGCAATCTCTTGCAACCTGTCTGCCTCCGCTGCTACCTTCTCTTATTCTTGCCTTGCCGTTTGGTCCCCCTTCCATCGCGGAGGACCCGACCTGCCCCCTCCAATTTCAACGTGCTTTTGCAGCATGGTAGCAGACCTCTGATGGGATTGGTGTATCATTAGTTCTGTGTAGATACCCAATAATTTTAGGGATATCTGTTATACTGTCTCAACCTTGCTGGAGACAGGGATGAAAAATAGACTTTTATCTTCCGCGAAATAAAAGGAGTACCTAGCTTTGTTTACATACGTGCGTAACTGTCGATTTACGCGTTTTTATTTCATCCTATATTCCGTATTTGAAAATGGGAAGGTTCGATTTTTGCGAATGTTCTCGTAAGCGTAAAAGGAAGCACGCTGGATGATTCTCGTTATTTAAATGGCGGCCTGGCGAGGCGAACTCGAACGCTGCCGCATACGTTCCGCGCAGAACCAGTCGTACGCGTTTGACTAAAATGGTATCGCAAAGCACTTCATTAATTACTTCCAGCTTCTTTACCCGCGAGTGGTATTAGTTATTTCGACGTGCTAGATCCGTGTTTATACGAAGCTTACGGCCTACTCGAGCGATAATTAATAGCGTCGGACGGGAATGAAATCATCGTAACGTGCCGTGACTGATTGCGTTAGGGTTACCGGGTACCGAACCATCGCCAGTCGAAGCCACCACGGCTATGCAAGATTGATATTGGCTGCACATGGGCTCGTTGGATTAGGAATGATGTTCGTTGCTCTGCCACCGGTATACGTACTAATTACACCGTCTGGTAATTAATACAAAAGACGGATTGAATTTTACGAAACCTAGGCAATTAACGCCATTCAAGTATCTTCTTGCCTCGCGTAACTATCGAACGTGTCGCGTGTTCGTCCATATCTCATACGACATCGTCTGCGAATCATCCGCATCGCGTATCGAAATTCGCGGCACGCTATCCTAATTGCGAACAAATTCGCGTTACGGGGCCGCGTGATCGCGAACGAGCACCTCGAATTCGATAACGAGTCGATCGAGGAAGAAAAAGGTAATCCGGAAGGTTATCGTCGGATTGCGTAACACACTGTTAGGAACGGTTCGATGGAAAGGAGAAGAAAACATTGAAAAAATGCCGAAAATATAATGTCAGAACGGGAGACCTACTAAATAGGGGCCGATCCACGCAAGGGATCGCCAGTCAGAGATTCGCCCTCTTTCTCTTTCAATCCGCCTCGTCGATAATTCTATTATGTACGGTTTAATGTACAATTAACCGATCACTTAGGGCCTGACGTTACGCCGAGTCACGATGTCTTATTAACTCTCTACCACGGAGCAGTCTCTCCTCGACCACGCACGGGGGCAACAGGAGCAACTTTAAACCGGAGCGGTCCGAGCCAAGCCGAGGCGAGGCGAGGCGAGCCACTTACCTCTATTAGACTCACTCGTCCCCGCTTAACGATCCGCTTCTGCTTCGATTCGCGATTTCGAGGATAAACGCGCGCCGCTCTGCTCACGATTTACGATTTGTTGCCTCGTATAAGACGCCTATTTGCTTCACCACTGTAACGCGCTGGTCCGAACCGATTGGGAAGTAGGCGAGACCTTTGATAAGCGGCCCTGAAATTCAAATCGTAGCTCTGATTCTTTCTTTTATTCTTATGTTTCGTTTAAAAACGCACTCCCAGCGTCCATCCATAATGCATAATGTTAAAAAGTTGCCAAGCTATCTTTTCTAGATACCAACCGACAGTTACATTATAATTATTGTAATTAATGGGATATTTCCATTTATTTGAATATATAAATAAATAAATAAATTAACTGTGACGCGACTACGTAACATTTCTTGCGGTCAATGTAGATGACCCTCTTCAGGAACCAAATACAACCAGTACAATGCAACCAAACTTCTACGGTCACTTCCACTTACATCTCCGGCGCAACTTACTTGTGAATTAGTCGTAAGTCATTCGATCTTTATTCCATGCCTTGAGTCATCCACCTAACAGGCAACGTATAAATAATCGCACTCAAATGTAAATTACGCACAGAAATATTAAACGTCCATTTTGTCAAACAATCCCGTCGTAGAAAACTTGACGCATCAAACTCTGGTATGTAGCGTAATCTGTACAACTTACCGACTTACTAATACACAACGAGTATCAAACTAGACTTTTAGAGCACACGGTAGCGAATTTGTCTGCCATCGAAAAGTTCATTTCCAGGAGTGGACGTTCTCGCGTAACGAGTAGCTTGACGGGGAGTTGGCGCGAATCGGCGAGCAGGGATCGGCTAATTTAGGAGTCCATAAAATTGGCCGGTCCTTTGGTCCCTTGTCTCGGGCTCCGATCCCTCTTTCTCCTCGTGGAGCCCCACCTGAGACACAGAGCGTGTACCGTCCCTAACGGACCCACACCGATGATATTTCAGTGTTAATTGCGCCCGGTATCTACCGTTCGAACCCCGGGCTGACTTCTAATCTCGGGTTCATTAGGGGCCCCGACGAGCACCGAACTATTTTCAGATCGGGACACACGAATGGTGGCTCCGAGTCCGCAGCCGCGAGTAGCGTCGACGCGCCAGGACGAGGAAGAAGGACGAACGAGTCGATAGGGTTGGCTCGAGGATGCCCAGCGACGAAAATGGGACGAGGAGGCTGGAAGGATCGGTCGGTACGAGAGAAAACAACCGTCTGTTCCGTACGTGTGCGGAGGACCCGGTGCTGGAAGAAGAATGCGAAGAGCGACGAAGACCCGCGATGGGACACGGCCATCTCCGATTTCCATTTTAATTGAACTCAACGCAACATCATACTTAATGCCAGAAACGCGTCAGATGCTCCAATTAAACGCGCGACGCCGTTTCGCTTTATCACCCACCGCGTTCGTTTCGATTGCCCTGCCGATCGTCCGCGGTTAGCCATCGATTATTTACTCTGAAATCCGTCCAGGTCGACTGCAATTAATCCGCGACGATCCGCATTCTTTCGCGTAATTTCTTCGCGTACCGATCATTTGTTTCAACGATCCGCGCAACGGTTCCCAGAAATCGAAGCCATCGATTGCCGCTGAGTCGCGATCCTTCGATTAGCAGCGGGGCAATCGATGGAACGACATCGGCTGGTTTTCCGTCGCGATCGTCGTCGAAACACCTTTCCTCTTGCGAGGAAATTCAATCACCCGGGAAATATCGAAATCGACATTGCTCGCTGGTTCTTCCTGGTATACCTTGACAAGTTTAGCAACAGCTCTGGAGTAATAGGTTGGGCGTGGATAAACGAGAGGCAGGAATATACTGATCCAGTTTATTCCTAGCTCTGTAGCCGAGCTAACGAGTGCCATCCGATACCGTTTAAAACAACCACTGCAAGGGAAGGTTGACAAGGACCGTCGTCGAAGCGATCGTGATCTAAATATCTTATTTAACATGTCGACTGCCACGTTTCTCATATCTGAAGCGATGAATGAATAGTGCATTTACCAAGCGTCACAGACTAATTATTTTCGCAACAAAATTATTCGACGCAAGGTTCCGAGGTTCTTGACTGGCTCCGCAGAGCTCTCGTACTCCTCCCTCGGAAAGCATCGCGCGTAAATCCCGCGAAACTTTCTCCCGACTTGTTCATCGGATGCAATAGAGGGTTAACTTGTTGAGCTATGCCCAGCTTCTTCCATCAGTTTTCGCCGCTGTCTCGCGTAAGGGGGCGCGGAGGCCAACGGACAAGACCAAACTCTCCACCGTGTGGAAACGATGATCGCGGGATCTCGCGAGATTACACGTTTCTCGGTAAGTTTCTGTTTTTTCAAACGGTTGTCGGTCAGCGCTGAGGAACCAAGCAGCGTGGAACGTCGGCGAACACGGGGACGAAGGGAGTCGCGAGCGGCAGAAATGCCGAGGCTGCCTCGCGCACGGATACCGGGCTTGATTTATTGACAGGAAAATCTAGTCGTCCTGTTCGTCGGCGTCGTCGACTCGCTCCGTTTGGCTTACCTCACCGCTCTTCTGCTCGTCTCATCGAGCGATGTCCTTCGCTCGAAAAAGAGAGCTCCGCGCGCGGCTCTTTCATATTTACGAGAGAATTCTTAAAGGAGACGGAGAAAGAGAAAGGCGGAACGGAAAAGGAAGAGAGGCCGAGGGAGGGAGGGAGTAAGATTTCGGCAAATCAACAACGATGATGTCGGGAGTCGCTTTCGAGCGGGGAAAAAAGTGTCGCTGAGGTAAGAATCTCAGGGCTCTGACAGCTTGAAGTATCTCTTCGCCGCATGGCGGAAGATTTATTTTTATTTTTGGTTTCTCAAAAACGGCCTGGCCCTCTGGCGAATTAACATTTCCAAGCGTTTCAGAATTCGATAAAAAGATAGCGGTTATACGGCTCCGGTGACTTTTTGTGGCACAGAGAAGGAGGAGGAGGAGGAGGAGGAGGAGGAGGAGAGAGGCGCAGGAAAGCGTGGCGGATCTCCGCACACGAGAACGAACGGGGAAGCCCGGGTGCACCGAAAACAAGTACAACTCCCCTAATTTAATTCCTTTATAATCCGATTAAGCCGGCCATTAGCGGAATCGCCGCGTCGAATACGTCGCGAAGGTGGCTCTCTTTCCCTCGTTCCCTACGGACGCCCCGCTAATGGATTTTTCAGATTGAGATACTGTCGCTCGTACGCCACCGTCTGATAACGCATGTCAACCATGGACGTCTAACCTTCTATCGCGCCCGTTGCCTACGAGGTTCCGTTTTCGGGAGGATTCAGCCAGTCGAATCGGCTGCGTAGGGTTAAATAACCAATCGTAGGTTGCGAGATTCATCGGGCCGGATCAGAGGCGAACGCCGCCGTAGGCTACCGGTGTTGGCCCAACATTGTTCGGCAGCTGCAGGGTCGGATTTTTCAGCGAAACGTCGATTTCTCGAGGCGAGGCGAGCGAGGCAAGACGAGACACTGGTCAGCTCGCAACGATGCCTTCGCGCTTCAAGTCGCGCCGAGGGCCGAAAATCGGCTCTGTTCGGCCCTCGACGAGCCTCGCGTTCGGCTAGGGGCGAAAGCATTGAGATGCAGAGAGCGTTGGTGCTACCGTGCGATGGTCCCGATACCGCCTAATGGACCGTCCCCGCCCTTTCCTCCCTTCGCCCTCGTCCTCGATCTTTCTTCTCCGCCTCCCAGCACCTTCCACCTTATCTCCCCTGCCCGCCGCCTCTGCTTGCCTACAACTGCATTCTAACGCCACTTTTAACCTCCACCTCCGCCTACCCTTTCTCCACTCTTCGCCTTCTCGTTTCCCTTTTGCTCTACCCTTGGTCCCGTCTCTTTCGCCTTTTCCTACGGCAGATCCTTTCCCTGGAGCGTACCGAACTCGAGACCGTCTAAGAACCGATCGAACGTCTAGCGACGACCCGTCTCCCGACCTGACTCCGTGACTTTCATCGATAATCATAATCATAGCAATGGTAAGGAAAGTATAATGGAAAACGGCCAGCGTCGATAAGGAATTAGGTACAATCCAACGTATAACAAGAACGTGTACGGGAAGCTGCTATAGAATACAAACACAGGCATGACTAACCAGCAAATATTATACCCCAGCAGGTAGCAGTAGCGCGTTCATTAATCACAGAATCACACGTCGTATTACAAATACAAACTGGAGAGAATACCACGAAATGACAGCTGCGCCCACCTCTGGACGCAGAGCGGTGCAAACAGACGGAACAATAACACGCGATAAATCAGATATTTTATTAAATAATAAACTAAACGATACTCCAAATTTTTCGTTACAACATCTACCACCAAACTTTCTTCTATCATGAATTTTGAGAAAACGAATAAAAACTTGTATCCGTCCCTAAGAGAAAACCATCGGATCGAGTCGCTGTTGGTACCGGGAAATGAAGCTCCCGGGACACGAGATGAGAAAAGAAAACAGAAGGAGTGAGAAGGAAGCCCCGTCTACGCATCGTGCGTTTTATGTCCGTACGCGCATCCACACGAGGCACACGGCTGCACACGGTAGCACGGCTATAACCGCGTCGCGGCATCATTTATATTTACGAGACACCGCGAAGGCGAGCCCAGGCCGCATTGTTACTGGCCAAGGGCCTTACAGCCGCCGTCTGGCCCTTATAGGGCCGCCGCGATCTCTCTGCTTCTTTCTCGCTCTCTCCAGCTACCTATCGGCTGGACTCGGGCCAGCTCGAACAGAACGGATCACGTTATCGATCGAATTCATCCTACTGCCATTTAAAAATGCTACGCGAATCAGAATTAATCTAAACTTGACGTGCATCGACGTACACGAACGCATGTGCTCACGTTCGAGGCCACATGTGTCAACGTTCGCCAAGATCCAAGCACGCGTGCCTTCGCTCGGTGCTTCCGCGCATGGCTACATGTAAACACACCTACGCGAGGAAACACACCTATATCGACGACAACAAACGGATCGTTTCTCCGACTAACGCATGTGGTCCGACGTTTTCGAAGCGACGGCAGGCCGAGAGCAGCCCGCCCGTGAACACCGGAGCTCTATAAAGCACCGATCTGAACAGAAGGGGAGAAACGAACGGACGAGGAGGAGAGAGATTTACCGCGTGCAACGGTTCGCGCCAATCAGCCGCGACACGGCGCATCGCTGGTGGAGATATTTCACAGTTATTGCCAGATAAACCACGACCTTAGCGCCGGATGTACCGTCGTTTGGGGAATAGACCGCATCAATGATGCAACGTTCGACCTCGCAGCATCGAGCGCACGTTTGTCTTCCTTTAGGAAGTTTATAGTCGTGCCTATCAGGTGCGACTTTGCTTCGGTGGCGTGCATTATTCTTCCGGTGCGCGCGACCCGAGACCGCAGACTTTGACGACGATATTTTAACGATGCCCCGAACGG